GAAATCTATGGAACAATTACAAGATACATAAATAGAAAAGATAGATGGCAACTAGAAATTAATACAAATATGTTAGATTTTGTCGTAAAAAGAAAAGATTACAAGATCTCAAGCTCTGAAAAACATTTAAAAAAGATTTCTATAGAAAGCAGAGACATTAAAATAATTAAAAAACAAAAAATTAGTAATAGTATCAAAGAATTATTAGTAGAAAAACATAAACGTATTAAGAAAAATAATGTTAAGCAAGAGGAGTTGATCTTTTATACAGATGGATCATTAATAAAAGCAAAAAAAAAAATCAAGATCCAGACTCTATGGAAGCTGGCTGGGTGCAAGTGAACAATAAAGAAGAGTATGTAATAGATGAAGGTGCCATCGAGGCTAAAGAATGGCTGTCTTCAACAAAAGCAGAGCTGCTAGTTATTTGGTGCATAGTTACTATAGTACTAAGCAAAAACAAAATCAAAATATACACAGATAGTGCAGCAGCTATAGCAAGTATACATAGTAATACACAATATATAACAATAAAAAAAAGAATGAAAAGAAAAAATTATAACTTAGTAATAAATATAGAAGATACAATACAAGCCAAAAAATTAGATTTAAAGTTAGTAAAGGTAAAAGGATATAGTGACAATAGATGGAATAGCAGAGCAGATAGTATAGCAAAAAAAAGAGCAAATATACAAGATAGAAATAAAATTATAGAAGAACCAGTCTCAAGATCAAACGTAACACTTTTTTGAAAAGACAAAGTAGTAGAAAATCTAACATAAGATTTTGTTAAAGAAGTTCTTAATATCAGAAATAATGCAGATTGGAGCTGTACATCAGCAGTTAAATAACTAGAACCAGATAGAAAAAAGAATGAACATTGCTGAGTACTATTATGGAAAAAGATTAAGAATCAGAATGGAACAAAATACATCTTAACTGCAAGAAGTAAAAGACTAAGTATACTCTTTAAATGTATACAAAAAAAAATGCCCATACTTAAAGAATTAGTATTAAGACGTCCAGACTTGTATACTGAGGCAAAGTGTATAGTTTGCAAAGAAGAAAAAGAAGAAGACCAGAACCATTTAGCAACATGCTCCTTTTATAAAAACTATTGGGTGAAGGCAGAAACACTGGCAATGACAATTGCATAGAGTACACTTTCAGAAAAAAAAAAAAAAGTATTACACAAATATATTTAAAAGAAGCAATATGGGGCCAAACAGAAGAAGAAAGTGCTAAAGTAAGGAAAAAGCTCATTAAAGGTCTTCTACAAGAAGAATTAGTAGAGAAAGTACAGAATAACATGATCTCAGTACAAGAAGCAAAAATTTCCTAATGAGTATAATAGATACTATATAGAATGAGTTCTATGAAAAAATTTGAAAAGAAAGATGCAATAAAGTATCCAAATAGGAAAAAAGCCAAGGAATCATTAAAAAAAAGAAAAGAAGCAAAAGTAAAGCAGTAGAACAACAAAACAAAGTATCACACAAGGTGTTATCAAAATCAAGAGATGAAAACTCAAAAAAAATTAAAGATATAAAGAAGGAAAAGAAAACAGAAAGTGAAAACATAGAAGATATATGGAAGAATACAGTTAGAAAATTAATTAATAATAACAAGAGGCCTTACTGAAATGGCCTCAAAGGCTAGCCTGAATAGCCCTCTAGTAGTGAGTGTTAACTCACTTTAGTGCGGCAGGTCGCCTCTGGATACTAATACAGTAGCTGGGAGATGTCAAACCTAAAAATTAAGCTAATATTTGTATAATCATGTATGCAATTCTCTTAATAAAGGAATTTGGCAAGGCTGCCAAAGAGTTAAAAAAAAATAAAAAATAAAAATATAAAATTGAAATAAAATTAAAATTAAAAGAAAAAACATAAAATAATAATAATAAATTTATTATAAACCTTTTTACAAGTTTTTAATTTCTTCAAGAAAAGATTTAATAAAGTCTTAAATATTTTCTCAAAAAGATACAAATCTGATAACAAAGTGGTTGCATAGTTGCTTTTTCATTTAATGTAGCATGTTGCCAATTTGTAAATAAATGCTACCTAAATAGTAGTATACAGTTCTGAAGATACCAAAGTTATTATAATACAAATCTAAAAAGAATTTTAAAACTGGCATCACTTGACTAAGAGGTGGATTTGTTAATATATATTCAGCTAGATATTGATTTCAAAATTTAATAGGATAACACTTTCATGATCCATTAAAGTAATATAAAATTTCATTAACAGATAAATCAAAAAATGACAGAGGTAATTGATCTTTAAGCCAGACTACAAGTTTTCATATTAAAAAAGACAGTTCTATAATATGATTATTTATTTCTTCTACTAGAAACCATTCATTTTAAGATTGTAATGAATGTTCTAAAGATTGTAAATATTGAGGAATTTTATTATAAGAAACTAATTTCTGTATTCAAACTTTCATTAAATTGTCTTTTGTTACAAATACCAAAATTTGACCATTTTGCAAAGTTTCCTGAAAAAGATATTGAATAAAATCACTACATTTAAAAGATTCTAAATAAAATTAAATATATATATTATTATATAATAATAAATTAATATTATTACATTTAATCATAAAATTCATATTTAATTTAATTATTTATCTTATGAAGTTGTTATATCAGATTGACCAAAAAGAGGTGATTCTGCCTAATGATTTCCTTTCCACAATTCTTTGCATAATTCAGAAAGGATTTCTAGTCTGAAGTATAAGTGAGAACTAATATTATGATTTTTTAATATATGATGAAAGTACTCAATTAAAGAAAAGTAATAAATGTTCATAAAGCATTTGGTTGTAGATAGTGTATTTTGAGTATTAATTAGAACTTTGTGACTTTTAATTTGCATTAAAGAAAGCCTTTCTTAGTACTTTTTAAGTATTTGTAAATTAGTGATCAAATGATTCCTATCAAATTGTAGGTAAAGTAAAATTTGAATTAAATCGTAATAAACAGCTTTTGCTAAAAAAACAAAAACAGTAATTAAAATTAAGTATATATATTTAAAATCTACCAAATTTCATATAAATGCTTACATATCATATATTTAACAGCCCACATAAACATTGCCAGTGTAGTGAAGTTTTTAAATATTCCAAATTGGTCTTCTGGATTCTATGTTAGATTAAAATTTGTCTCATCAAATATTTTCATAAAAGTTTCTTCACTATCAGAAATATCATTATCTGAATTGGTATTGCAAAACAGTTTATTATATTCTATAACATTGTAGCTCAAATTATCTGAGCTATCATTATTAGGTTCAGATTCTAAATTATCATTACATTCCATATTAAAATTATTGTTATATCCAAATTTCTGGTTTTCATGCCAAATTCAGAATTCATTTGAATTTTTTTGCTGCAGCTGCAGCTCATTGTTTTCATATACTGTTGAAATATTTTCATAACTAAAAGCTGGATTTGTTGTAGTTTTGGATACTCTTAAGTGAAATTGTGAAGTTTCAAATCATAAAAGCCAATGTCTTGACATACTTTAAGTTAGAAAAATTTTTATGCAAAATTTAATAGCGATATATATATATTAACTTGACATGTAATTCACATGATACAAATTTATAATTTTGATTGGTCAGTATTATTAAAATTTAAACTAAAATTATTACATATATATGTATATATGCATATACTAATATTAGCACTGATTATTATGCAAGCACATACTTATTTTTTAGTATAAAAATTTTTCTTTTTCATTGTAAAAAAAAATTATTATTTAATATGGCAAAAACTAGAAGTAGAAAAACTATAAATCTTAGAAGAATGAAAAAAAAGAAATTATTGATAAATACTCCTAAGACTAATGAAATATTAACATTAATATTAATTAATATTATTACTTTTAGAATTATCTAATGAGGAAATTTCTAAACAACAATTAACATCTAATAAACATTTAAGAAACACAATATATGAAAATAGTAATCATTTTTTTTATAAAGCTTATTTTATCAATATATATACTAATAAAAATAGATTATATTAATATTAAATAACTTATTACATTTATTTACTTTTTTTAGACAACTCTAATAAACTTACTTGTGTTCCATTTAAGCCAGTTGGTTTAAATAATAATGTACTATTACCAGCAAATAATGTAACTCAGTCAACTCACCAAAATTAAGACTTTTATAATCATAATGATTATTTATCAAGTTATGCAAGTCATTCAAGATTATTGTATAACCTCAATCCAAAATTAATCCATAATTCTGATTACATACTATCAAATAATCCAATTTAGTTAAATTTTACGAATCCAAACTTGACTTATAATAATTGTTCATCAAATAAAAATACTCATAGATTGCAGGTTTTATTTAATGATACAAATATTTCTATAGATAGTTCTGTGATGTCCAGAAATACCATTATGTCAGAACAACAATATAGTTTGTCACAGGAAACTACTATGTCATTGGACAATATATCAAATTTACATTTGACTTATCAAGATTCTTTGTTGCAACAAAATTCTCATAAACATAATAAAAAAATAATTTAATATTAAATTTACAACCTTAATATACATTAGATTTATCAGTAAATCCCTATAAAACAACTACTCAACAACTTAATGATAATTCACATGGGTTGAATTTTCCAGATGAGCAATTATTGGTCAATTGGTTATGCACATGACCTGATTTGATAACTCAAGCACAAAATTTGTTAAGAGCATCTTTGCTATATAAGATTTTAGTTAATACATATTAATTATGTTCACTTAATTAATTTAAATATATTAATTTATTATAATTTTATTCTAAAATTATATGATATAATGCAATATTCATTAAAGTAAGGTCAATATTTCAGAGCCAACAGATAAAGAGACCATAATTAACCTAGTAATGGAACAATGCAAGCTTTTGTTTTTGCACACAAAAAATTCTACTAAAAAAATTCATGAAACACTAATTAAGAAGATCATTCCATCAATGGATTCAGTATCTAAAGAATTCAAAATATTATATCAAAAAGCACATGAATACTTTGATAATTTTCAATATACATTTAATAAGGATATGACAACCCTTGCTAAAGATTTTCTTGTTAAAAATTGGTATGCAAGATGTAGCCAAATACAAACTCACCATTTAATATTATGTATTGTGTTTTTATTTGATTAAAAAAGATTAAATTTATCTTTATATTTAATATTATTATTCTTTTTTGTAGTGATCTATCTGATAACAATATCGAACAGTTTATTGCAGATAAAGTTTGGCAACTAAAGCTTAGCAAATACCTTGATGCTAGTAATTTTTCAAAGTTTAAAAAATCTCAATCTTCACTCAAGTCTCTTAAAAATTTTATTACTGAAAGTTTGAAAATCTATGTCGAATATCTGATTTCAATTCATAACCAAGAAAAACCATCCTATAGTGAAGATGTCTTGGTGAAAATTAAGAAGCTTGATCAACTTACTCTTCATCTAAACATTCCATCAGCAAGTTAACAAAATTACGTAAATAAATTGGATCTTAATCAAATAAGCATAGAATCTTCAGACAATGAATAATATTCCACTACTTAAAAATAATTAACAGCTTCCTTATTATAGATATTCACTAACATAGCAACTTATTATTCCAATTAGTTATGTTCTTATAGATTAATTATTTAACAATAGATTCATCTATTTTGTAATTGCTTATTAATTTATGTATTATTGATTTAGTTATTTAAGTTCTTATTATATAAATTTCACTAGTCAAAAAAGTAACTTTAATTAATAGCTTTATTTTACTGACTGGAAACTAAATAATTTCTCATTTATTCAAATTTTTTAATATAATCTATATAATTAACATTTATGGATTTTTTGTATATAACAACATTGGGATGTATCCTATTAGTTAATTTACAAATATAGTGCAAACTGCAATAACTCTTTAATATAAATAATATTGCATTTACCAAGTTCATTTTAATATGCTCTTTAAAATAATAGCTTTTTTTTTTTTTATTGTCTGGAGTGTAGTGGAAGACTCTCAATTTCTATGCATAATTCTCGTTTTTAATTCATTTTTAATAAAAACATCAAAAATATAACATTAGAAATTTGTCTGTTATTTGTTAAGATAAAAAATATCAAATAATTTATAAGGAACTAAAAAAAGACATTATTACTTTAAAGAGTATGTTAAAACAAACCTGACAAGTATTTAAATTTATCTGTATGGGTTCACTGGTTCAAGAGTTATTTCAGTTTGAATTTATTATATATTTTACTATCATTTGGTCTACAAAAATATTTATTATTAGAATTTGCTACTATGTAAATTGACCAATAGTTAGGGTTTATTCGAATAATATTTGAATCAGCAAAATTTTACCTATTCAAATTATTCGTTAGATAATTCTTTATTCGAATATTCACTGAAGACAAATATTATTCAAATAACGAATATGAAGTTCTAACAATGATATGTATATATGCATATATTACTATTATCAGGCTTTTGCATATTCTGGATGAATTCAGAAGACAATTCATAAATCATTGTGGTCGACCAGGTTTTGTTATTGAATTTTTGTTTGTAGTGTAATACTATTTATTTCATTAGAATAGAATCAATTTTTTTCAAAGCAATAATGATCATTATAATAGCATTTCAAAATTCCATAATAGATCCAATAATCTGTAGAAATTTTTGGCCAAGTGCAAAAATCGTTAAAAGCCTAATATAATTATCTATAATTACCTAGTAAAGGGCTAGTAGAAAACTATATTTGAAATTTAATATAAAATTTTTTTTGTCATTCTTATATGATCCTATTATGTTACTAAACATTGCTAAATATATAATATTTTAATACTATTGCAAAAATGTACAATTTCCGCAAAGATGCTATAAGCACAATAAAATAAAATTCATTTTATATATTATATAATTTATAGTTTATAAATACATAGTGTAGTATATTTATGTGTGATTGCCATTTGATAAATTGAGAAAGATGACAAAATGCTATTAAAATTTTTAAGTAAAAGTCCAAATAAATGGATAAGAAATTCCGATTCCATTTAAATTCTGTTTTCATTAATCAAGAACATATAGTAGTAGCTGTAGTGAATAACATGATGAATATGATCTACTGTTTCATATTAACGATCTTGTTTAACAATCTTGCTTACAGGAACCTTAATGCGATTAATTTGGTTTGAATTTTCTTAACAAAATTTTAAATACGATTTTCGTTATAAATTATATAAAATCTCTTTCAATATAATTATTTTACTAAAAATTTATAATAAATCCTTACGACAAAGGGAATCTTAGAGACATATGACATCACTATAAGAGAATGACTTGTATGCACATTTTTTCACCAACAATCACTTTACCGACAGCTCATTTCACAGACAAAGTAATTCTGGTCATTGTCGTTAGGGTTAGACTAGAATTAAAGTCAAGGACAATGTAATTTATTAAAAAGCTTGTCGGTGAAATGAACTTGTCGGTGAATTAATCGTCAGTGAACTAAGCTGTCGGTGAAGCGATTGTCGGTAAAATGATAGTATTTTTATTGAGCAAAAGCTAATTGGTTATATGAATTCTGTACAAATCACACCGTTTAGATATACCACAGAAGAATGTTGGCATATGAAAGTTAAAACCCAAATGTAATAAACTTTTCAAAGCTAAAATCAATTTTCTGACATGAATCTATTATAGCGACTTACAAAAATTTACATGCCGACGCTGATTGGCTGTGTATCAGATTTCAAACAGAATATAAATGCACGCCTGTCGATCATGCATTACTGTATCATTGTTTCCAAATGTTGACATTTTATGACAAACTTTCGCAAGATTTTACTAAACTTCTTGAAAGTGAATATAATTATGATACAATTATTGAAGTTGGTGAACAACCAGATACTCAACTTTTCAAAGCACATTCTGCAGTCTTATATCAACGCTCTTCTTACTTTCAACAAAAATTAAGAAATACAATTAAAGGAAATAATATCTTTAGTATTAAATTACCCAAGATTTCTGTTAAAACATTTGATATTATTATCAAGTACGTTATTTGAAATTTGTAATAATTATAGAATCTTTACTGTAAGTAAATAGAATTAACAAATAGTTTCACATTTTAATTAATTAATTATTTATCGTAGATATATTTATGGCGGAGTAGTCTCTTTAGAAAACCTTGACGCTTCTGGTACACTTGATCTTTTAATTGCTTTCAATGAATTTAACTTTTCAGAATCTGTTGATTGTCTTCAAACTCGCCTTATTGAAGATAAAGCTTCCTGGCTTCGTTTGAATTTTTCTTACGTTTATCAGATTAGCTTTCAACATGAAAATTTTAAAACTTTGCAGCAATTTTGTAATGACATCATTATAAAACATCCAAGTTTGGTTTTTGATTCTGATGATTTTACTACACTTCAAGAGAATGCATTGATTTCTCTCTTAAAACATGACGGCTTACAAGTGGATGAATCTGTAATTTGGGATAAAGTTATTTTATGGGGAAAAGCGCATACTCCAAATTTACCTTCTAATTATGAGCAATGGAATAAAGAAAATTTCAAATCTTTAAAAATTACTCTTCAAAATTGTTTACCTTATATTAGGTATTTTCAAATTTCTGGTGATGAAGTCTTAGAAAAAGTACGACCTTATAAAAAAATTCTTGATAAAAATTTGTGGGATGATATTATGACAAAACTTGTATCACCAAATAAGCCTATTAATTCTACAATTTTACCTCCTCGCAAAAAACTGTCAACTCAACTTCCTTCTCGAAATTCAATATATGCACCTTCATCTATAATAAATTTAGAGCATGTAGCAGAAATTTCCTCTTGGATTGATCGACGTTCAACAACTTATGATACTACGGAAATTCCATATGAGTTCAAACTGTTAATTAGAGGTAGTAAGGATGGATTCGGAGCCAAAAAATTTCATGAATTATGTGACAATATACCTGGCTTAATAGTTGTTTTTAAGGTTGAAAATTCGAATGAAATAGTTGGTGGATATAATCCTATTTATTGGAAATCTAAAGGAGGATTTAAATCGACATGTGATAGCTTCATTTTTTCTTTAAAAAATGAAAATAAGAAAGAATCTATTCTTAGTCGTGTAGACGATCAATCAAAAGCAATTTTTTATGATCCAGATCATGGTCCATGGTTTTGTGGTTTTGGACATCGTGATTGCGATGGCCTTAATAAATGTTATTACGATGGTAATAAAGCTTATCAACCGCCAATCAGAAACGTAGTAGATATTACATTTTCAATAAATGATTATGAAGTTTTCCAAATATGCAGAAATGCATAAATTCTACTATAAATAAAATTGATACAGTATTTATAGCTTATATAATGAAAAATATATTATAATTATGTTAGTGGAAACCATTTAAAGTATAGAAAACGTGAATATAGAGTGCTATAAGTAAAGTAAAAGAGAAGTTGTAATTTGTAACCTTATAGAGTAATTTTTATGACAAAATTTACCAAATGCACAAGATTGGTATTGTCATTCCTGAAGTTAAAGCTATTTTAGTGAGATCATAAAAAAATTTTTTTTTTTTGGTATTAAGGTGAAGTCTTGCTTTTATCTTTATTCATAATTATGAAGTATTAACTACATGGAGTTACTGAATACAAAAAGAAGTTCTATATATGTTATGGCTAAGACCAACACTTGCAGTCAAAGTTGATCATTAAACTGCTAACTATAAAACTATAACTCTAAGTAATATAAATGTTACATGCAAGAGTAAGAGCTCAGACATATTTATCTGCAGTTTAAACCTACTAGAGTGATTAAGGCTCATCTAGATTAGTTGAAATTTTCTAAATAATATTCATTACTCTAGTATATACTAGTAAGTTATTCATAGATTTCACTAACTATTTATATTATTGGAAGTTAATTACATCATTATAAAGAAAAGAAGATAAATTAAATAAGAAATAAAGTATAATTAAAAAACTAAAAAGTAATGTTAATTAAATCAACAAATAGATAAAGAAAGTTAATAGAATTGTAAAGATGTAACTAAAATAAATAATATAGATTGGATAAGTAGATAGATAAAAAGAAGTTAACAGAAATATATAGATATTGCTAGAAGAAAAGGTTATCATCAAGTTCATCAATGATTTTAGATACATTAAAAATGTAGATAAAGTTAATTTCTAATATTGTAGGTATAACAATATTAAGTTTTTTGATAATGTATTGATTTGCTTAATAGAAATATGATTTGTTATGTTTTTTTTAAGTTGAGTAATGATTGGTTTAAAGATTTGGATAATATCATAATAGGCAATAATTCTGTCTAGAATATATAGATCACTTGTTTAAGAGGAGATTTTGTTTAATGCTTCTTTGAGATTAAGATCGATAATTTTATTATTTATTATTACAGATTTAAAATAAGCTTTAAAATAGCAGTAAAAGAAATAAGATATAT